TGTGAATATTTATGCCCCCAACTTGAAAGAACCCAAATATATAAAACAATAACAAACATAAAGAAACTCATTGATAATATACAATAATAGTGGGGAGGGAGGCCTTTAACATCCCACTTACAGCAACTGACAGATCATCTAAGCAGAAGATCAAAAGAAAACAATGGCTTTCAATGACACACTGGACCAGATGGACCTAAGAGATATAATCAGAACATTTTATCCTAAAGCACCAAAATACATATTGTTCTTATGTGCATATGGTGCATTCTCCAAAATAGGTAAAATACTGGGTCACAAATCAGGCCTTGATGAGTACAAAAAGATTGAGAACATACCACACATAGTTTCCAACCACAGTATTATGAAACTTGAAGTCAAACACAAGGAAAAATTTGGACAACATATGGAGGTTAAAGACCATCTACTATAAAATGAATGGGTTTACGAAGTAATTAAAGAAATTTTTTAAAAATACATAGATATAAGCGAAAATGAAAACACGATGGTCCATAACCTTTGGGATGCAGCAAAAGTGGTCATAAGAGGAAAGTATATAGCAATAAAAGCCTGTATCAAGAAGCAAAAATAGGAGTGCCTGGGTGGTTCAGTTGGTTAAGAGGCCGACTTCAGCTCAGGTCATGATCTCACAGTTCGTGAGTTCAAGCCCCATGTCAGGCTCTGTGTTGACAGCGCAGAGCCTGGAGCCTGCTTCAGATTCTGTGTCTCCCCCTCTCTGTCCTTCCCTTGCTCAGACTGTGTCTCTCTGTCTCTCAAAAAATGAATAAATGTTAAAAAATTTTTTTTAAAGCAACAGTAATCTCAGATACACAACCTAATCTTATACCTAAGGAAGCTAGAAACATAGCAAATGAAGCCTAAAGCCAGCAGCAGTGGGGAAATAATAAAGATTAGAACAGAAATACATGATGTAGAAACAACAAAAATAAGCAAAACTAATAGAACAGATCAGTAAAACTAGGAGCTGGTTCTTTGGAATATTTAATAAAATTTATAAACCACTAGCTAGATTTCTTAAAAAGAAAGAAAAGAGAAAGGACCCCAATCCTTAAAATCATAAATCATGAATAAGAGGAGAGAGATCACCACCAAGGCAACAGAAATCTGAACAATTATAAGAAAATATTATGAAAGATTATATGCCAACAAACTGGGTAATCTGGAAGAAATGCATAAATACTCAGAAATATATAAACTACCATAACTGAATAAGGAAGAAAAAGAAAATTTGAACAGACTCATAGTCAGCAAAGAAATTGAATCAGTAATGAAAAAACTCCCAACAAACAAAAATCCAGGGCTAGATAGCTTCCCAGAGGAATTCAACCAAACATGTAAAGAAGAGGAAATATCCATTCTTTTCAAACTGTTCCAAAAAACAGAAATGAAAGGAAAACTTCCAAACTCATTTGATGAAGTCAGCAGTACCTTGATTCCAAAACCAGAAATTTACCCCAATAAAAAGGAGAATTACAGGAATATTGATTCCTGAAGAACATGGATGCAAAAATTCTCAAGATACTAGCAAATCAAATCCAAAAGTAAATTAAAAGGATTATTCACCATGAGTCGGATTTATTCCTGGGGTGCAAGGGTAGTTCAATATTGACAATTAAATAACATGATATACCACATTAATAAAAGAAAGTATAAGAACTACACAATCCTTTAAATAGATGTAGAAGTATATGACAAAGAACGGCATCCATGCTTAATAAAAACCCTCAACAAAGTATGGATAGAGGAAAAACGTTCAACATCATAAAGACCGTATATGAAAGACTCACAGCTAATATCATCTTCAATGGGGAAAAACTGCAAGCTTTTACTCTACAGTCAAGAACAAGACAGGGATATCCACTCTCACAACTGTTGTTTAACATATACTGGAGTCCTATTCTAAGCAATCAGAAAATAAAAAGAAATAAAAGGCAGCTAAATCGTCAAGGAAGAAGTCAAATTTTCACTATTTGCAGAAGGCATGATATTCTCTGTAGAATACCCAAAAGACTTCCCTCAAAATTGCTAGAACTGATATACGAATTCAGTAAAGTTGAAAGATACAAAATAAGCATACAGAAATCGGTTGCATTTCTATATACCAATAATGAAGCAGCAGAAAGAGAAATTAAGGAATCAATCCCATTTATAATTGCACCAAAATCCGTAAGAATCCTAGGAATAAACCTAAACAAAGAGGTAACATATCTATACTCTGAAAACTGTAGAACATTTATGAAAGTAATTGAAGAGGCCATGAAGAAATGGAAAAACATTCCATGCTCATGGATTGGAAGAACAAATATTGCTAAAACGTCTATACTACCCAAAACAATCTACACATTTAATCCAATCCCTTTCAAAATACCAACAGCATTTTTCACAGAACTAGAACAAACAATCCTAAAATTTGTATGGAACCACAAAAAAACCAAATAGCCAAAGCAATCCTGAAAAAGCAAAGCAAAGCTGGAGGCATCACAATTCCAGAGGTCAAGCTACATCACAAAGCTGTAGTCATCAGTCATTACCAAGACAGTATGGTACTGGCAGAAAAATAGACATATAGATCAATAGAATATAATAACCCCAAAATGGACCCAGAACACTACAGTTAACCAATCGCTGACAAAGCAGAAAAGAATATCCAAAGGAAAAAAGACAGTCTCTTCAACAAATGGTGCTGGGTAAACTAGACATCTAGATGAAGAAGAATAAAACTGGACCACTTTCTTATATCATACACAAAAACAAATTCAAAATGGATTAAATACCTAAATGTGAGAAAGAAAACCACCAAAATTCTAAAGGAGAATGCAGGTAGGAACCTTTTTAAAAAATTTATTGATTTCAGCTCAGCTCATGATCTCATGGGCATGAGATTGAGCCCCTCATTGGGCTCCACACTGAAAGCAGCAATCCAACTTGGGATTCTCTCTCTCCTTCTCTCTCTGGCCCTCCCCTGGTTGCACTCTTTCTCTCCCTCAAACAAATGTTAAAAAGAAAAAGAAAAAAAATTCTGTGAGAATCAATTAACTATACACAATGTATATGAATATTAAATCATGTTGTATACCCTAAATATATACAATTTTTTAAATTTATTAACTTACTTACATACTTAATTTCTACACTCATGTGCAACTTAAACTCATGATCCCAAGATCAAGAGTCAAACGCTCTACCAACTGAGCCAGCCAGGTGCTCCAATACATACAATTTTCATTTGCCAATTATACCTCAATAAAGCCAGAAAAAATGTATCTCTCCTTTGACTCAGCCATCTCACTCCTAGAAATTACCCTAAAAATACACCTCCACAACTCAGCAACATATGCACAGAGTTGCTCACTGCAACATTATTGGTAAGAACAAGATCCTGGAAATAGCCCAAATGCCCATCAACAGACATCGGCTGAATAAACTATAATCCATTCATATTATGGATTACCACATGGTCATAAATAAAGGATGAAGAATACCATAGAGAACACTTCGGGATATTTTATTAAATAAATTAACCTATTCAATTAATTTATGACATATCCTATATTACATAAAATATCTACTATTAAATTTAGAATGAGAAAGGCAAGAACTAAGCTTCATTTGTATATGTGTTTATATATTTTTAGGCTATATTTGGGGGGAAAAAACCTGGGATGGTAAACCGTAAACCAACAAAAAGCAGCTACTCATCTGATGCAGAAGGAAACAGGGCAGCAGAGATGAGGACTGCAACCAAACTAATGTGTTACATATTCAAAAGATCAAATTAATTCCAAAAGAAAAAAAGTCCATAAAGATTTGTAGGTATCCTAGTAGACCTAGGTATCCTGAAGAATCATTCTATCACAGAATATATAAAAAGTGCTAGAAACTTTTATCTGTAAAAAGATAGCAGAAAATAAAAAGACCACGCAAATATGCAGTATTTGCTATACACAGGCTTACAAGCAATTAATATCTAGGATCTATAAACGATATATAGGATATACACATATAGATGTATAACACACACATCCCATAAAGAAGGCCCAACTTAAAAGAAACACGAGCAGCAAACATGAAAGGCATTTCACAGATGAAACATGGATGGTCAATCAACCTAATTAATTAATTAGAGAAATAGAAATTAAAACTACAATGCAATACCAGATTGCCAACGAGATACCAGACCCAATGTTACAATATATAACAACTAAGACTCCTACCACTTGCTAGTTGAAGTTTAAAATGGCACAATTACTTTGGAAAACAATTCTGTATTACCCGGAAGAGGTAAAGATGTTCACACCATATGACTACTCAGTTCTGCTTCCAGAACTGTATCACAGAGGAATTTTATATATGTGTGCCAGGAGAAATGTCAAGAATTGCCAAAGGAACACTGCTTGTCATATCAAAATATTCAAGATAATCACTGCCAGAGGATGTAAAAATAAGTTGTAGTAAACAACTTATTACAACTTATAGTTGTAAACAAATAATGAAATGTACTATAGTCAAGCTATCAAAGTGAACAAACCTCAAAACACATTAGTGGGTGAACAAAAAAAAAAAGCAAATAGCAGAAAAATATGTAGAGTTTCCTCAATTTGTATAAAGTTCAAAACCAAGCAATGGAAAAGTCTATGTGTGATATCGCAAAAAAGAAATTCAGGATAATGGTTACCTCTAGGGGGCAGCATAGGAAATACAATTGAGAAGAGCTTCAAAAGTTCTGATATACATTTCTTAAGCTACAAAGTACATACAAGGGTATTAGTTTTATTATTCATTAAGCACTACATATACATTATATATACTCATGTATAATATATTTAATAAAAAACAAGAGTGATTACTAGTATATTCTAAGATATCTATGAAATATTTGCTGGCATAAATCTGAAAAAAAAACACTTAAAAGTTAACTGAATTTCATTTAAATGCTAGTTTATTTTAAAGAATAAAATTCACTTAATAGTTATACTGACAGATTTTCTTAGTAGGTGTTGGCCTGTCTTTTAAAGAACAGGTTCCTCCTTCTTCCGTCAGAATCTAGAAGAAAAACAAAATTTTAACAACTCCCAAGTATAAACAGTAATAGCACTCCTATTTCCCTTTTAATCCCACCAATTCATATTACAGTACTTTTCCTTAACATTAGTTCAACAAATTATATTTTAATACTACAAAGAAATATTTGCCTGTGATGAATAATAAATAAAGTTTAATAGGTTGTGAAACAATAAGCAGCAGTATAGGCACTTGCTAAGAAACAATTGATAAAAAGTCTTGAAGTATTCATAGTAAATGCAGTTCAAGAGATAAAACTATGAACTTAATTTGGAAATTTATTCTGTTATTCTCTAAATTTCTTAAGTTGGATATCAGTTTATTTATTTTCAGGTTTTTTTAAATAATAAAGACTCTCAGAAGTATAAATTTTTGTATAGAACAAACCACTGGTTCTGATTTTCATCAATTTCAATGTAATTTATTTTTACTTTTTTTTTTCTTTTAGTCTTTTTCTCATTAAAAACCAGAGTGTTTCTTAATTTCCAAGAAAGGGAGGTTAGGCATCTTCTGTTGTTGTTATTGATTTCTAACCTAATGAATTATTAGAAAATGTGACTATCTCTCCTTAGGCAAATCTCTTAAACTTTCTTTATGGCTTACTACATGAATTATATTGGCAAGCGTATCATGGACTTATAAAAAGTATAAATTCTCTGTTGGTAGGACAAAGTGTTTTAAATAAGATAAAGGAGATTGGATAAAGGAGAAAGCTGTTTACCAAATGTTTTCCCTCTCCTCTTAGGCACACAGCTAGAGTACATTTCCTAGCCTCCCTTGAAGTCAGTTTGGACATGTGATTTAAATTCTGGTCGTAAGCAAAAGTGGTGGGTCTATGCCACTGCTACTCCTGATCCATAAAAATTTTCCCCACAATCCTTCACTTTTCTTTCCCTTCTGCTATCTGATGTCGACATACATGATAAGCATGGAAACCACCAGTTAATGATAGCAAAGTCCCCACCAGCTACCAGCTTGGGGTTCTGAATAACTTTATGCAGTAGAGCCTTTTCTCTAATCCCACTACTCAATCATTTAAAGTATTATACGTTAGGGGCGCCTGGGTGGCTTAGTCAGTTAAGCGTCCGACTTTCGCTTAGGTCATGATCTCGCGGTTTGTGGGTTCGAGCCCCGCGTCGGGCTCTGTGCTGACTGCCAGCTCAGAGCCTGGAGCCTGTTTCAGTCTGTGACTCTCTCTCTCTCTGACCCTCCCCTGCTCACGCTGTCTCTCTCTCTCTCTCCTAGAAATAAATAAAAATATTTAAAAAAATAAAATAAAATAAAAATAATAAAGTATTATATGTTCAACTCTTAAATAACATACAAGCCCCAGACCCGTACCACAAACACACAAGCTGAGAAAGTTACATAGACACCAAGGCAAGCACACACACCAATAGCCACCTCAGATCTGTTTATAGAGGATAAATGACAGAAAAGATCATTCCAAAGAGAAAACACTAAATTGTTCAAAGAATCTCCCCCATAATCCAGGGGAGCAAGCCTTCACAATGCCTGCCAAGCTGGATTTCATAATTGGTAGGGATCGGTAACTCAGTATTTCCTCTTCTTCTGTTTTAGAATGAGTTTTCTATTGCATTTATATTGTCTTTACTCTGACACTATGTATTTTATGTATATCTTCTGCTATCTTTATTTTCAAAATTTATGATAGTATTCTACAGGTTTCAAAAAATATATTTTTCTGTCCAATTTAATATTGTTGAATCTTAATTTTTAAGAAATCAACTTCTTGGGGAACCTGGGTGGCTCAGTTGGTTAAGCACCCAACTCTTGATTTCGACTCAGGCCATGATCTCACATCATGAGATGGGGCCTTCCTTAGGCTCTGTGCAGGGTGTGGAGCCTGCTTAAGTTTCTCTCTTCCTCTCTCTGCCCTTCCCCTGCTTGTGTGTGCTCTTTCTCAAAACAAACAATTAAAAAGAAAAATAACAAAAATCTTGAAAACCAGCCTCTTCCTATTTATCAATTGCTAAACAGGGTTCATTTCTTACATTTTGTTAACCATTTATGTAGAAGTTTTCATTTTATTTTTTTCCCACCTCATTAGGTTTTCTAGTGTGACATTCCAAATTCTTTGAATTCTGAAGTTCTTCCATGTGTCTCCATTTCTCTAGTGATTACCTTCCTATTTTTAACAATCATATTTAAACCTTACTCTTTTAGAATTAAATTGGTACTAGTTCAAGGTGGCAGTTGAGAAGGATGCTTAACTCACTTCCTCCAACAAATACACCATATCTACAGCTACATACAGAACAATTTCCTCTGAAAGAAACCCAAAAACTAGTTAAAAGACTCTTTCACAATGGGTGAATGTGAAAAAACCCACATCAAAACAAGTTGTGCGGTGCCTGGTTGGTTCAGTAAGAGCGTGTGACTCTTGATCTCGCCCCATACTGGGTATAGAGAGTATTAAAAAATAAATAAACTTAAAAAAAAAAACTTTAAAAAAAGTTAAAAAAAAAAAAGTTGGAGAGGCTGAGGCACAATTTCACCACAAACCCTGTTAAGGGCTAATAGCAATTCACAATTGAGAGAACCTACAACTCTAAAATTCTCCCTGAAGAGCAAGTGGTTTGAGTCCTACAACTGATACCTTACCTTCTAAGACCTGCACCTGACAGACACCAATGGGACTTGTGTCTATGAGACCAACAAGGCTATGGCAAACTGCACAACAGTTCTTAAGGGGCTCACACAGGCTCCCTGTAGCTAAAACTCAGGGTCTAGAGGTGAGGCAGCCCACTGAAATAGCAGGTGAAAGAAACCTATGATCATTTATATCTGCAGCCTGAGGGACAGGCCTCTAATTAAACTCATATTAAAGAACCAACTTTAATCCTCTCCAGAGACCTCAGAAGCTGGGTCCTATCTTTGTGCTCACCCTCTGACCTGCTCCAGGTCACTAGTAACTCCCATTAAAGAGACTGTGTGCATGTTTGGTGCCCTGGGTTTTGTGGCTGCTGCCCAGGAGACACTTATGATTATTTAGCTCTGGCAGCCAACAGGCTGCAGACTCAGACCTTGCATTTGCAGGTCCCATAGGATTGTTACAAACAGAAAAAGAGTTCTGAAACAGCTATCCCAGCAGGGGACAGCGGAGCGAGAGCGAGCAAGTGCAGAATGAAATGCAGCCCCAATCTTTCCATGAAAGAAGCCTATTTGATTATCTTAAATCTTCAGGCTGAGGGGCAGGATTCTAAGTAACACACATTTACAGGCCTACTGAAATAGTCTCCAAAGACTGCAGAGCCCAGTAGACACCACCTTCATACTCTCCTTCTGCCATTTTTCAGGCCATAGGTACTGCCCCAAAACAATGCCAACGTACACATCTAGAGCCTCAGTTTTTGCAGCTGCCACCCAGGGGTAGTGAAGTCTCTTGATCATCAGCTCTGGTAACCCCCAGAGCTCTCATAGGTCCCACAGGACTGTAACAAAGGGTTCTTAACCAGCTACCTATCCAGGGACTAATGATGGGCAGCAGACTAAAACACCTATTCTTGGGGCGCCTGGGTGGCTCAGTCGATTAAGCGTCTGACTTTCGCTCAGGTCATGATCTCACCATTCGTGGGTTCGAGCCCCGTGTCGGGCTCTGTGCTGACAGCTAGCTCAGAGCCTGGAGCCTGCTTCAGATTCTGTACCTCCTTCTTTCTCTGACCCTCCCCTCCTCACGCTGTCTCACTCTCTCTCTCAGAAATAAATAAAAAACATTAAAAAAAAAAAAACACCTATTCTTTCTGTGAAAGAGGCCTATTAGCTTATATTAATACCTGTAACGAGAGGGACAAGCTTCTAATTAAACACACATCGAGGGGCCACCTGCAATCCTCTCCAGATACTGTAGAAGTCAGCAGGTACCATCTTCACACTCTCCCTCTGCCCTGCCCCAGATTGCTGGTGTCTCCAAGAAAGGAACTTGTATAAACACCCAGCATCCTGGCTTTGTGGCTGCTGCCTAGAGGACACATCCTTTGATAGGCTGTCTCTGGTAGCCAGCAGGGCTTAGGTTCACGGATCCAACAGGATTACAGCAAACAGAGAAACACTTCCTAACTGGCTATCACATCAGGGCTCAGAGCAGAGGGAAAAGACAGAGGCCCACCTCAAAGTCTTACCATGAGAGAGGTAAATTTGCATACTTTAGAAGCTCCCACCTGAGGGTGTGGCTTCCAATCAAACTGAATCTGGTTGCTGACCAAGATCCTTCCCATTGGGACACACACCGGCAGGTTTTGGCATACCTTCACCTCCTGAAAGCTACTAAAAAAAATAAAGCAGACTACTTGGAAAATCACAAAGGTTTAAGAGACAACCAAGAACTAGGGCAGGACTGAAACAGGTTGAAACAGGCCCTACCTTCAAGACTAGGAGAAGGGTCTGTTTTATCCAACACAGAAACCAACACAGAATCAAAGCATTTGAAGACACAGAACAGTAGGTTCCAAACAAAAGAAAGACAAAAAGCTTCAGCAAAACACCTCAGTGAAATGAAGGTAAGTGATTTATCTGATAGGAGTTCAAAATAACAATCACAAAAATGCTCTCCCTGAGGTCAGCAGCACAATGCAAGAACAAATAATTTCAACAAAGACATAGGAAATATAAGAAATTACCAAAGAGAAACCACAGAGCTAAGGAATACAACAACTGAACTAAAAAATATAGTAAAAGGACTGAACAGAAAACTTGATGAAGCCAAAGAAAGGATGAGGAACTCAAAGATACGGCAGTGGAATTTATCAAATCAGAGAAGCACAACAAAAAGAAATTAAAAATGTGTAAATAGTATAAAGGACTTTTGGGACAATATCAAATAAACCAATATTTATATAATATGAGCTCCAAAAGGAAAATAAGGACAAAATGACAGAAGACTTATTTGAAGAAATTATGGCCAAAAACTTCACTAACTTGAGGAATAAAACAGGCATCCAGAGCCAGGAAGAACTTGGAGT